TAATATGCATCTTTGGAACAAGGCAGCCATAGCCAAGACATGCTAGGACCTAGCTCAAAAACAAGATAAACTGTGGATCAGGTGGATTCATACATATTATATCAAAGGCCAACAGTTTGCTAGTGCACCAACACCCTAACAAGCATGCTGGATAGTGAGGAAAATATTTGAAGCTAGAGGAAACATTGAGAATGTGCAGTGGGAACAAAATGCAAAGAAGAGTCTGATAAGGCAGATTTACTTGTGAAAAAGAAGAAGATGAAGAAGATTACTCGCTGCAGCTCGGAAGGCAACAAAATCCACTTTGATATTGCGTTCGAAGTGCTTACTCGGACAATAATGCCACAGAGAAAAAGTATCAAGAATACAACAATTTTCAAACTAGTAGTATTGATACTGAGTTGAAAAATCAAGAACCTATACATATAATTGTTGATTTGTATTGTGAGGACATACAAAATAATTTAAAAAAAAGAAGAGGATTTACAGCAAGAAGTGCCAGCCTCTTCTATAGCAAAGCAAAATTTTGGAAAGGCTAGCAAAGGAATATCCCAAGAAGAAGAAGAATTGGATGATGATGGCTGGCCACCAAATGGAAGAGGCAGAAGCAGACAAAGGAAGAATGGAAGAAAGAACAACGAAAGAAACCCCACCTCCTCACAGAGGGTAGGTAGAAAAATAGACAATTAAACCCCAAATTATCCATGATTAGCGCGATATTTTGAAATATTAGAGGAGTGAGATCCAAAATGGAAATTCATAGATTAAAAAATTGATCAACATCAACAAATGTGAATATCTGGCTATCTTTGAACCTTACATTGATAGCAACAAAATTGAAGGCTACAAGAAGTTCTTGGGATTCCAGCATTGTGTGGCCAATGACAATGGCCAAATATAGTATTTTTGGAATTGTTAAGCTGTGGTAGTTACAAATGAAGAGCAATATATTACTGTAAGCATAAATAACTATAACGTAGATGAAGATATTCATGTTACAGTAGTTTATGAAAAGTGTTTAATCGCAGAGAGAAAAGATTTATGGGAAAGCATTGAAAATATTAGCAGCACAATCTGTGGTCCATGGTGCGTTGGAGGAGATTTTAATGTTATTATGGATTTGGGTGAGAAGTTGGGAGGTAGACCACACAGAGCTCAGAGAAGTTTTGATTTCATCACTACTATGGACACATGTGGTGATCTTGTGGACATAGGCTATGTTAGTGCTCGATACACTTGGTGCAACAATAGAAGACCAAGTAAGAGAATCTGGAAAACAGTCGACAGAATCTTGGTGAATGACAAATAGACAGAAAAATTTCAACACAATTATGTCAGACACTTAGTGAGAACTGGTTCAGATCATAGACCATTTCTCATGAAATGTCATAATGAGCAACAAAATGTCATCAGGTATTTCAGGTTTCTTAATTTATGGGTACAACAACCAGATTTCCTGGATGTTGTGAAGAACTCTTGGAATGATCAAATCACTAGGAATGCTATGTGGAGACTTAAAAGTAAACTTCAGACATTGAGCAGGAAGTAAAGTCACTGGTCGAGGGAGAGCATATGGGATATTTATGAGTAAATCAATACATGGAAAGGGAAAGTGCAACAACTTGAAGAAGTGGACCTTTACCTCAATATAGAAGACAACAGAGAAGAGCTTAACAAAGCCCATGTAGAATATATCAAATAGTTAGGAATTCAGGAGGATATCATGAGACAAAAGTCCCAGATTAAATGGTTCCAAGAAGGAGACTATAATAGCAGCTATTTTCACAGTGTTCTTAGAGATAAAAGAAGACGATTACATCTTCACAAGATCAAAAATCATAGAAACAGATGGATACATGGGGATGTTAAGGTTGTAAAAGCAGTTGTGCGACACTATGAGAAACGTTTTAACTTAGAGGCCCTAATTTTGAATACCTCTCCGCTTGGCTGTATCCCGAGATGTATCTCTGTAGAAGACAATGAGCACCTTGTAGCCATTCCTGATGTCAATGAAGTTAAGAAAGCAGTTTTCAATCTCAATGCCAATAGTGCTGCGGGTCTAAATGGCTTTAACAAGATATTCTATCAAACTTGCTGGGAGATTATCAAGGATGATATTTCGACATTCGTAATTGAATTTTTCAGTGGAAAATTCTTAACCAAATTTTTTTGACTCATGCCCGGTTCTTATTCCAAAAGTGGAGTCTACCACTAAGATCATCTCTAAGATTATGGTTGTGAGGGTTAGTACTTTGCTACCCAAAATGATCTCAAACAATCAAAGCAGCTTTATTAAGGGTAGACTCATTACAGAAAATATCATGCTTGCGCAAGAAATTATTCAAAGTGTTAGCAAGGAAAACAGAGGGGGCAACATTGTTATTAAATTAGACATGGCCAAGGCATATGATAGATTGTCTTGGACTTTTCTTACCTCAGTCCTGAGAAAAATTGGTTTTGCAAAACATTGGATTGATATTATTTGGAGGTTAATTTCAGATGTGTGGTACTCGAGTGTGATTAATGGATCCAGAAAAGGTTTTTTCATTTCTTCTCAAGGGATTAAGTAAGGGGATCCTCTGTCACCGTCCCTCTTCATCACTGCTATAGAAGTGTTGTCCATATCACTTAATCAACTTTAACGTAATTTTGATTTCACTCCTTTCTATATGAATCACAAAGGCCCTCAAATTAATCATCTGGCATAAGCAGACGATATAGTGATTTTAGTGGTGGAAACAACAAATCAGTCAGGTTGATCATGAAATGAATTAGCAATTATGAGAAGTTTTCTGGTCAAAAGTCAACAAAGATAAGAGCTATTTCCTCATTGATCCTAAAGCGAGAGCTCATAGAACTAACAGAATGAGGGAGGCTACATGCTTCATGGATAAGTCTTTTTCCTTCAATTATCTTGGATGTTCTCTATATGTGGGGAGAAAAATAATTGTTTACTTTGATGTGATTGTGACTAAAATCGTCAAGAGAGTCAACGGGTGGCAAAGTAAAATGTTAACTTGTGGTGGTAGAATGGTTCTCATCAAAAGCATCCTTCAATCTCTGCCTATTTACACATTGTCTGCCATGAGTCTACCCAGAGGTACTCTTAACCTAATTGAAATATATTTTGCAAGGTCCTTTTATCAGCTGAAGTGCCTGGAAGAACGTTTGTCTTCCCAAGGATGAAGGTGGAGTTGGCATAAGATCGAGGCACGACATTAGCAACACTTTAGCCATAAAATGATGGTGGAGATTTAGAACCAACAATTCACTCTGGGCCTCATACCTAAGATCTAAATATAGTATTAGGTCTCATTCGGTGAAGAAAAAATGGACCTCCGGGGACTCGCATGCCTGGAAACATTTGACGCAAATTAGAGACAAAGTAGAGAAAAATATTTGATGGTGTATCAATGAGGGTAACAGTAGTTTTTGGCGGGATAATTGATCGGGAAAAGGTGCACTTGCTGATCATTTTCCCCACAAAAGACACACTAAGTCTATCTTAGTAAAGGATTTCATCAGATATGGTCAGTGGAACATAGAGAAACTTAGAGGCACTCTCAATGATCAGATAACCATAGATATCTGTGCCATTGACATTGATGATCAGAATAAAGAAGACTATTCTATCTAGGAAGCCTCAGCCGATGGTCTATATACCAACAAAAGTGCGTGGTAACTAATAAGGAGCAGAAAACAAAAAAAATGAAGCTCTAGAGAACATGTTGCTCAATAGTATCCCCTTCAAAATATCCTTCCTAGTTTGGAGACTATACATTGGTAAGTTACCTTTTGATGATATTATTGCTTACTTTGGTAATCATAGTGTGTCCAGGTGTAGGTGTTGCGACAACCCAAAAGGAGACACGATGCAACATGTCTTTATTGAAGGAGATGCTGCTAAATACCTCTGGAATTATTTTGGGGCTCCGCTAGGCATTAAATATGAAAACTGGCCCATGAGAAGAATCTTCAAGAACTGGTAGGAAGTGAAAACGAGGAATAAACTTCACAACTTCATCATACATGCATTACCTTTGGTCATAAGTTAGGTCATATGGAGTAGTTTGTGTTCATGTATATATGAGGATCAAAGGAATTTCTACATTAGGAAAATGAAACAACAGGTCAGCTGGAACATTTAATCAGCTATTACAATGGCTTTCCCAAGATGTAAAGTGACATGGCCATGGTCTATATTCTGTGAAAAGGTGGAACTTTGGAGACCCACAGCTATTATAAGTCAAGTCACATGGCAAAAACCACCAGCAAGCAAGATTAAAGTGAACACAGATAGAAGTTTTATTATGGGAACAGGAAGGGCAGGAATAGGAAGCTTTGTCAGGGACGAACAAGGAGATCTTTTGATGGCTTTTTCTATACCAGTTCAAAGTAATAGTAATAACATGACTGAAGTTTTGGCGACAAAAAGGGAGTACAATGATGTACTTAGGAAGGCCATAATGACTTCTATCTGAAGATTGACTCACAGATAGTAGCCAATATGCTCACAATGAGAGACACAAACAATCTCAGGCTTAAGAAGATCATTGGAGACACTTCTCAGAGCATTAATCAAAGCCATATTCATGTTACCCACTGCTACAGAGAATCCAACCTAGTGGCCGACATGCTAGCCAAGAATGCAGGCTCTAGTGGAAACCGTGGGTTTTTCTATATATTCCAACAGCTTCCAAGAAATGTAAAGGGCCATTTTCTACTAGACAAGTAGCAACTACCTAGTTTTAGAATTAGGTATGAAAAATTCAATTTCTTTGTAAGTTAATTTTCTTGTACTCTGACATGAGAGGAAAGGTGTATAATTTTTTTGTTGTAATCCTCTCATGTTCGTTCGAAGACTGACTTTGGTCAGTCCTTTTCTTTTTTCTAGAGGTCAGGTCCATGGCCCCCTCCAACACCTCAGGAGGTAAAAACCTGGGTGATTGGATTAATTATAAAAAAAAACAAAAGTGATTACTCGGCTACCCCTCAAGGACATGGACAAATTCAAGTGCGTATCAAAGTCTTGCTCTTCAATGATCTGTCACCCTGAATTCACGAAAGCTCATAAGCCTTGCGGCGGTATATTCATCCATGTCTTGCCCGTTAAGTGTCCCTGCCCGGGCAACGACATCCCAGATCAAATGAAAGGCCTCCATTATGCGTCCACACATGACAAGAATGAAGTGTTTGCTCAACGGGTAAGTTTGCCTTATTTTGGTTATGAGGATATTACTCCAGTTATAAACGGGCTTGCTTGCCTTTACACGGGTGATCAAGTTTCACTTTTTAATATATCTACTCGTGAACTTATGAGGCTTCCCTCTTCAAATTTATACGGTGAAGGGCGTAGTGTTTGGTATGCTCTCGGTTTTGATCCTGTGGATAATGTGTATAAATTGCTTAAAGTCAAAACGGTTGCCAATCGACTAGTCTATGAGATCCTGACTCTTGAAACAAGTTCAAGATCGACATGGAGATGGAGGGTCCTTGTTCAGGAAGGTTTGCCGATGTTTTCCTCTATCAGTGGTCAAAGTTACTTCTTGAATGGTATAATTTATTGCAAGTTTGGAGAAGAAAATCATTATCTTGTCTTTGATGTCTACAAAGAGCAGTTCGTCATTTTCAACCTACCACGCGTCGCCTCAAGTATAAGAGACAAATTCAACAGCAATTTCATAGTATTCGGCCAATTTGAAGGGCGCCTAGCCCTAGCACGTGTTAAGAAGACACAATTTGAGACGGTTTTGGAAGTTTGGGCTTTAGAAGATCATCAAAACTCTATATGGAGCCAGCATACTATCGACATACTAGATGAACTAGTTACATACTTTTTTGGGATTTTCGCGTGGATATCATATTCCTTGTCAAGAAGTTGGTCCAAACTGAAAATATTACTTTTTAATTTTGGCACATAATAAACATCTTAATTAGCTTGTGACTACCATCTATACAGAAGATCAGAATTGTACTTATCCCTTCAATTTGAATCTTTGAGGTATCTCCAAAGGACACATTACCTCTTACCGTTTTATTGATCTCCACAAACTTTTCTTTGCATCCACACATATGATTGCTTGTTCCATTGTCCAAATACCACGAGCTGCAATCATCCTTGTCTTCTTCCTTGAGTGCCATCAACAACGTTGACTCATAATCTTCTTTCTTATCGTCAACAAGGTTAGCATTTTCTTCAACATTTCTATTACATTCCCAAGACTAATGGCCAAATTTGTGATAATTATAACACTCAATTTTTGATTTGTCATACATTTGTCCATTATTTTCTTCGTAGTAGCTATGTCCTCTTCCTCCTCTTTGTCCACGGCCACGACCTCTGAATGTTTAGTGGATTTTATCTTCATTATTGAGGTTGTTACCATTACTTCTTCCTCTTCCATGACCTCCATATTTCTTTACAATTTAGTAGTGTCAAGAGACTACTATAATTTCAAAAGAAATAATACTCTTTATTTAAAATACCTCACTACAATATTACTGACACTCACTATTTATCTGACAGACTAGAATCTGTAGATTACTCTCTCTAAATTCTATTGCTTCTCTTTGTTTTGGTGTGTTTTCAAATAAGGAGAAACTACTCTCTATATAGAAAGAAATCCTTGGCCTAATAGTGGATATGATGTCATGGCAAATGTCATGAAAACTTGGTCCACAAATTATTATAGTGGATATGATGTTGTAAGGCCCAGTTAAAATTTTTCTAATGATTTAATATTTTAAAGTACGCCAACGATATTTAGAAATAACGTGTTAGAGTATTAAAGGATACCCATGGGATAGAACCACATTATTTCAAAATGAAAAGTATATGTTTAAGGTATGTTGAAACATACTAAGGAGTTTTGTGAATGGAAAGAATTCGTGTGGAACAAGTAAGATACATTAAGTGAAAAGAATGTCTCAATTCGTACAAGATCCTACTTCAAACGTATGCTGCTACCAAACTATAATGACTTATGAGGTGATCTTTGAGTCTAGTTTCTAACGCTTCAAACCGTTCGTCATTTGGACATTCCTACAAGAAGTTATGTTCAAATACCCAAAGGCTGGTCTATAGCTCGCTACAGAGCTCACGAGGCCAGGTCTGTAGCACGCTAGACCATGCTATATCCCTCACGAGGCCAGGTTTGTAGCTCGCTACAGAGCTCGCGAGGCCAGGTCTGTAGCATGCTAGACCGTGCTATATCCCTCGCGAGGCCAGGTCTGTAGCCCGATCCGGAATTTCGGAGTATCCATTCTCCTATTTTTATAACACGACCCAATCTTGTTATATAAACATTGTGGACCATTTATTTTGGAAAATCTGACATTTTAGAGTGAGAGATAGTGCCCTAGAGTGAGAAGGTATTCTTCAATAATTGTTCTTCAATTCTTGCTCAAGTTTTGGAAGATTAAGAAGGAAAACTCACTAGGTCTTCATCCTAGAAGTAAGATTCTATACCCTAACCCTCAATTTTGAATTTTTTCTAGAAATGGGTAATTAGCAAGATAATTTTTTGGGCATGAGAGTTGTTTATTTTACATGCATGTGTTATCAAAGGGTGTAGGAAGATTGTTGAGCTAAAAATGATAAAGATTGGGTTGTGGGATGAGGGAATCCTCCATAAAAGGACCTTAAAACCTTAATGCACACCTAGTGTTTGATAAAATGCTCAAATGAGCTAGAACCATTATCTTCGTCCTAAATTTGGTTCAACTTGTTATTTTTCTAAAATAGATTGAAGTTGCTAAGACTTTCGGAACATTTAGAGTGTAAGGAAGCTCAAGTGAGGTATGTTGGCTAAATTCTTCTTTAAGAATTGGAATTCCCATTATCCTTGTAAGTTCCAAGATGTTGATTACAAATCGAGTATTCCGATAAGTTTTGTGATAAAAATATATGTTCAATTCGTGTTTCAAATGCTCTTATCATATTGCATTATAAATTGAGGATGTGTTCCAAACTATGGATTGTGTATCCACATGTTATAATTTCAAGTCATGATTTATGTGAAAGTTATTATGTCAAGTTGTGTAGAGATTGTGATTGTGATACACCTCCACCCGTATATATTGGGGTGAGGCGGAATGACTGCTTTGTGTAGGGATTATGGTATTGTGGGACTGCACCTCCACCCGCATACATTGGGGTGAGGCGGCATAGCCGCTTTGTGTTGGTATTGGTATCGTTGATGCATTTCCACCCGCATACATTGAGGTAGCCGCTTTGTGTTGGTATTGGTATCGTTGATGCATTTTCACCCTCAAACATTGGGGTGAGTCGGCATAGCCTCTTTATGTAGGTTCTTGGTACTGTGGTTATATATCCACCCGCATACATTGGGGTGAGGCGACAGGACCGCTTGAGTAGAGTTGTGGTATTGTACTTACACCTCCACCTGCATACATCGGGTGAGGCGGCGGGGCCACTTTGTGTGAAGATGGTTACATAGGATCTCATCTTAAATCCTCTAAATGTTATTGATAGCTCTTGATAAGCTTACTCAGGTTTCAACGGTTATCTATATTATTCTATTGCCGCCCTGATTTATCATATTTATATTGTGTTTATAAATTCTTATATTGGTGTTTGGTTTTCATACTAGTACTATTCGACGGTACTAACGTCCCTTTTATCGGGGGCGCTGCATCTTTAAATGGATGCAGGTGGTTCAACAACAGGAGGTATTGATCTGTGATAGCAGTACGCATTCTTCCCAGCTGACTTGATGAGCCCCACTTCATTCCGGGGTCATGTATCATTTGTTCTTTGTGTATTTTGTTGGAGGTATAGCCGGGGCCTTGTTGCCGACATTATCATTGTACTATTCGTTATCTATAGAGTCTCCGTAGACATAGTGTGGGTTGTGTATTGGTGCTGAGAAAGACAAACTATGTTATGTTGTGGTTGTATTACTTGTCCCATTTGAGATTTTAAAAATGATGAAAACTATTGGTAATAGATTGGTATTGGAGACATGATCACGTTTTTGTATAATTAATGAAAATATGTATTATCTTCATTTATGGGTGAGTTTGGGTTAAAGGAAATATAACAGGCTTGCTAGGTCGGGTTCATTCGTTTGAGCGCCGGTCGCGCTCCTCGGGTTTGGGGCGTGACAAACTTGGTATCAGAGCCTAAGGTTTTAAAGTGTCCTAGGATGTCTCGGAGCTATGTCTAGTAGAGTCCTTCTTATCAGTGTGTTGTCGACCACATCTATATGTTAGAGGTTACATGGACATTTTAGGAATGTTACCCTTCTTCAATACTCCAAATCGTGCGATAGAGATTGACTATGAGATTGTCTTATAACTCGTGTGTTGAGGTTCAAGATAAGTTTAAACGCTCTTTTGATTATTCCAAGTAATGTTATCATATGGCATGACAAATGGGTAAAGGCCTGAATATTAAACAGATGGCATATGTATCACGTTGAATGAATGGAATGGACGTATAAGATAAGTATATAGTACCATGAGCATACTTTAAACGAGAAGAGTGCTAGAAGTGATTACCCACCTCCAAAGAGGCATTGACGTGATAAATGAGACCTAAGCTTAACTAGTACACTTGGTTAGTGTGGGAATTGTTACATAGGCACGTGATATCTGAAAGGCATAGACTGGGGAATAATGATAAATGTGTAGGTCTCTCACGGGAGACAAGAAGTTTTGAAAGGAGAGTCAATTGAACCCACAATGAGAATGCCCTAGCACTATAAATGTTATAAAAATCTCAGGAATGTGCGAAGTTGTGTTACACTCCAAAAAGGATATTGACACGAGGGATTTGGATCCCAAGCATGTGTGGCTGAATAAGAGTATAGAACTTATGAGGTTAATACTATGGGGACTTAAATCTCCCTAATAGTCAATCATATACAAGAGGCTAGAGATGTGAAACATGTGTCCCTCAAATTGCTAAATTCAAGACTTGTGTCAAAATATGAAACATTCACCCTAAGTGGGTAGGGAAGGGCCATGGTGAGGCTACTTAAGTACAATAAAACGAGAGTAGGGCCATGTAGCTATGATGTTTGGATATTTTATTAAAGATATGTGTAGTCTAGAAAAGTGGTAAGGGATAACGTGATTCTCTGAATGGTTATGCAAATGATAAACCACTAGTATAAAAATAATGTGGAAGGATAAGAAATGTAAATTCTTCGTGCGTAACAATATACATGACAGGGTCAACGATACTAGAAACTAAGAGTAAGGTTTCCAAAAGGGTTTTATACTTGTTAGAGAGCGAGGGACAATGGAACCCAAGGAAGTACTACAGATCAAATGTGAAAGGCTTGCAAGTTCTTAGAATGAGTTAATCACGGATTTGCAATTTAGCTAAAGTTCCAAGGCTTTAAGAAAGACAGAACGAGTGGGAGAGATAAATGTGATGTTATAATAACCTAAGAGTGCATCTGGACTTGATGGAGAGTCTCTTAAGAATCTTACAAGCAAGGAAGTGTTAAGTGATACACAGATGAACGCACTTTCCCATGGATATCCCAACAAGTGTCGAGAGGCGAGCATCACGAATTCCCAACTAAGGAAAAAGACCACGTAATGTATGGAAGAGCGCATAACTATTCACTAACTAGAAAGAATGAGACGAGAAGAATTGGAAGAAAATCTATAAATTGAGATGGTCATGGTTATCGCAAAATAGTTCGTATCAGAATGGTGAACTCTCCTAGAGCATAAGTGTTAATAGAAGATATATAGGATCAACTGTAATGCAACCGGCTTGAGTGACACTGAATATCAGCTAAAAGATTTAGAGGAAGTTCATGTTTACATATTACATTGGAAAGTGAGACTACTGGTGATGAAGTAGTGGTGTGATAAACTCAACAAACCAGGCACAATGATACTACGAGTTCATGGGAGGAAGACAAGTGTGTGGCACAATAAG